AGGTCGTAGGTACTTCTTGAGGGCCACTCTCTGGGCGAGGGGTTGGGGGCACCACCGAGCAGGCCACGGTGTCAGGTTCAAAGAGGAGAGAGCAGCGGTGGGGGGGGGTGGTCAGGAGCCACGGGGCCTGTTTTCCACCCAGGTGGACAGTGCCAGTGTGGCAGGGTGGGGACCCTGCTAAGAGCCACGGGGAGCCACGGCCAGCACCTGAGGCCCGAGACACGCACCACGCAGGCCGCGGAGAAGCGCTACATTGCTCTGACGGTCGGATGACTGTGCAGTGACTGCCTCGCCGAGGGTCCCCTGGGTTCTGTGAATAGTTAGGCTGGATGCCCGCGGGGGCCCAGAGCAGGGACCCCGGCTCTTGCACGGCCGCGCTCACAGCAGCGTTATTTACAGACGGGGGAGACAGTGCAAGCGTCTGGGGATGGATGAACCGATAAACAGCGGAGTGTCAGGCAGACGTGGAAAGGGAGGACATTCCTGCACCTGCGGTGACATGCAGGCTCCGCGAGAGAAGCCGGACGCAGGGGACGGGGCTGCACGAGGTCCGTAGGCCACTGAAATCCACAGTCCGAAGGTGGACGAGAGGCCACTGGGGCGCGGCAGGGGAAGTGAGAGTTCCGTGGGCGCGGTCCCTGTGGAGGGTGACGGACGCATTCCGGAGGTGGCTGGTGGTGATGGGTACGCGCCAGCGGGGATGGGGCCCAGAGCAGACACCGAAACATGGTTTAAATGCCTGAAACTTGATGTTATGTAAATGTTACCACAACCAAGAGGATAATTAGGCTGGAGGAAGGGATAGCCAGTGTGTAGGGTCACCCCAGCCTGGGTGGTCTCGAGCCTTCTTTCTATGGGGGAGGTTGGTGGCCTGGCGGGCAGCCACGTCACCCTGGGCCTGAGAGCTGCCCGCGGGGGGCGAGGGAAGGAGGTTGACCTAGGGCCGCTGGGGAGGGAATGAGGCTGCACCAGGGCCCATGCCCTGAGATAAAACTGGCATCCCCTTCTCGGAGGAGGGGAAGGAAAGTCGTGGCAGTTTGTCGTCTTTCCACATTGACTTGTCCAAGAAGCAGGCAGGAACAGTGAGCGAAGGCAGGTGGTGCTGTGTGACCACGAGTCAGTGACTTAACCTTTCTGAACCTGACTTTTCCAGTTTTAAAAAATAGGGCTCCTTTGGGGCACCTGGCTGACCCTTTCCATCTCAGGGTTGTGAGTTCGAGCCCCATGCTGAGTGTAGCAATCACTTAAAGATAGGGTCTTTTTTTTAAATGGGGCTCAGGGCGCCTGGGTGGCATAGTCAGTTGGACCTCTGACTCTTGGTTTCGGGTCTGGTCATGATCTCAGGGTCAGGGAATCGAGCTGTGTTGGGCTCTGCGCCCAGAGTGGAGTCTCCTTGGGATTCTCCCCTCCTCTTCCCTCTGCTCCTCCTGCTCATACGCGCTCTCTTTCTCTCTGTCGGATAAATACATCTTTAAAGCAGGGCTTCCCCTGGTTCTGTTTAGCTGATGAGGGTGCGGAGAGGGTCATCTGGAACAGAAATGTGAAACTTCTTTCATGGGAAGAACATCCCTTTGCTGTTAGTAGCATCTCACGAAGTTTGGGTATGAAACACAGATTCAGGTGCCGGGGCCACAAGAAAGAGGATGAGGCCCCGGCCCCAGGGAGAGGTCGCTGGGGGACGTGGGTCGGATGCAGGTCTGACCATCGTCGCGGCGGGGCTGTGGGCCAGGCTGGGGACGCAGAGCCCTCCTCCCCTTAGCCCACACCAGGGGGACAACTCCCAAGACCCCAGTCATTCCACGAGTGTTGTTCGGGTGTCCCCTCCCTGTACAGCTCTGGACGGACGGGGCGGTGGGGGGTCCACCCAGGCTGCCGTGCTCCCTGGGCTCACGGTGTGTGTGTGGTGGGGGACACGGACGGTAGCACACGGCACAGCAGTGAATGGGAAGCTTTCGCATTGAGTAAATGCAGTAACGGTTGTCACAGGTTGGCCTGGCTATTTCTGATGGTGTTTCAGGGAAAAAAGGGAAAAAAATCACTCTGCAGACTTCAGTTTCCCCATTTGTGAAAGAAGTAGATGGAACTAGAATTCTTTGCTATCCAGTGTCTATGCCATTTGCCCCAGGTCGCTTTTTAAATGTAAATTAATTAAAATTAAATAAAATGAAAAATTTGGTTCCTCAGCGGGACCGGCTGCATTTCCAGTGCTGGGAAGTCACATGTGAAAACAGGTGGCAGTTCCTCAAAAAATTAAAAATACTAATGCCACGTGACCCCGCGATCCCGGAAGAACTGGAAGCAGGGTCTCCAGATCTCGCACAGCTGTGTTCCCAGCGGCGTTAGTCACAAGAGCTAAAACACAGAAGCGCCCCAGGTGTCGATGGGGACGGATATGCAAAAGGGACTCTGAGCCTTAAAAGGACGTTCTGACACTTGCTACAGTGTGCACAAGCCCTGAGGATGTGATGTTAGGTGAGATAAGCCAGCCCCCAAAGGATAAACACCTTAAGATTCCTCTACATGGGGATCCCTGGGCCTGCAGATTAGAGGGTAGAATGGGGGGAGGGAGTGAGGAGTTGGTGTTTAATGGGGAGAGAGTTTCAGTTTTGCAAGACAGCATTCTGGAGACGGGTTGCACAACAGCGTGAATGTCCTTCATGCCAGGGGACTGTGCACTTAACGTGGGTGATGGTGAATTTCACGTTACATGTATTTTAGCACAATTAACACAGTAGCCCCACATGGCCGCTGTATCAGGCAGCGCGGGCCTGGGGTCCTTCCATCCTGGAAGTCCTCTGGGACGGTGTTGGGGGAGACGGTCTCTGCTGTCCCTGCCAGGCGGCCGGAGCAGCCAGGTCCCAAGTGGCTCTCCATGGAAAGCAAGGGTTCGGAGAAACCGTCTGGGCAGGTTGGCCTGATGGGGCCTCTGCTTCTCCCATCGTTGGGTGGGCGGGGTCCTGCCTCCTGGCCCTGCAGAGCAGGCGTGCTGGTATCTCCACTGGCCCGGAGAGAAGGGGCTTGCGGGAGGGGACCCTCACCTGTGCAAAGGCCAGGCCCTTCCATCAGTGGTGGGGGGGGTGGGGGGAAGAATGGGGCTTGTCTCGTTTTTGTGATTATTTCTGAAGCAGGCGCTGGTGGCAGGATGTTTGCTTTGTGGTTTGAGTTTCTGCCTGGGCGGGGGGGTGGGTCGCTGGAGAGAGGAGGGAGGGGATGAGGGCTGGATGTGGGAGTGGGCGGGGCCAGTGCAGGCCCCCCGACCAGACCCAGGGGCAGCTGGAAGCAATTTTCGGTCACGTGGGGCCAGGCCGAGCCGCTGGCCTGTGAGACAAGGCCCCATGTCTGTGTCCAGGAAGCAGCCCCGTGGCCACATGTTCAAGGCCAGCTGCTGTGCTGGTCTTTGTTTATTTAAAGATGCTGGAGCTGGGGACAGTCTTTCTGAAGAGGGGGCAGAGGCAGATGCCTTCCGGGTGCTGCTGGGAGGAGGCCCCATGGCTGTCCTCCATGCCTCCTGGGTTGCTTGCCTTTCCCTGGCCTGGGAGTGGGGTGGGCAGCAGGGACCCGTGGGCTCTGTTACTGCTCGGTCCCCGATTCCGTGAAGGGGGAGTCACGGCGCTTTGTCAGGCTGAGAAAACGGGGAAGTCAAGCGATGTCGTACAGAGAAACCACCACGCTCTGATTTCTGGAATTTGTCAGCCGATCATCCTGGCTGCAGAAGGAGAGGGTGTTGGCCCCACCGTGGTCAGCTCCCTCTGACACTTCCGCAAAGCAGAGGTGCAGCCACCTAGGTGCGAGCCGGTTGGGCCCACTGGGGTTTGGCACTGGGGTTTGGTTGCCCGGCAGAGTCTGGTCGCTTCCCCCGGAAGTCAAACCCCCGTGTCCTGTGTCCTGTGCGTGAACCCCGCCCACCCCCCACCCCGCCCCAGCGCACACTTGGGAGCGGGGTTCCGAGGCTGATGCCCAGGGAACCAGCCAGCCCCTCCCTGGGGGGGGCCCGGGGAGATGTTAGGATGTACCTTGTGCTTCTTCCCATGAGCGTTCCTGGGAGACGGGAGGGAGCTGACCGTCCTCCTCAGTGGTCGGGGGCTGGGAAGGCCACCAGGGAGAGGGGTGGGCAGGCGCATGTGGTGTGTCTAGGGGTACTCCAGGTCATGGCCAATGTGCTCCTGGCAGACCCTGGGAGGGACCCATGCTGTTCTGAGCACCCTGACCAGCTCCACTGGGGGAGTGGCCCTCGGGTCCTCACTGGGTGCCTCTGGCCACTCCTCCAGGCCTCTGACCTGGGTGTGCAGACTCCTCAGGGCAGGAAGGGAGGGAGGTTCTGATCTGCAAACTGCAGAGGCTTGAGTTATTTCTAGAAGCTCAGTCCCGCCTGCCTGTTCGCAGACCTGGAAGCAAAAGCTGGGGGTGTGGGGCACACAGGTGCTGGGCAGAGAGAAGGACCCCCCCAGGTGGGGGGCGGGGAGCTGCCCCAAAGCCCCATCTCCCTGCTGGTGCCTAGGAACCGCGGAGCCCAGGAGGGGCATACTCTGTCCAGGTCTATTTATGGGGACCCAGGACTGAAAACACCTCACCCGGGAGCTGCAGGATGATACCCGGGTCCTCTCCTTCGTCCTGGCTCACGGGCTGGCCCCACCGGTCAGCTGTTTGGCCTTGAGGGTCCTGAGGCTTGTGGGTTGGAGCGGGTGTGGGAGCCTGTTTGAGCCTGTGATGGAGGTGGAGACGGCCCACCTGGGTGCCCTGGGGCAGGATGGAGGCTGGGAAGAGGAGAGCTGGGGTCACCTCTGCCTTGGAGCTGAGGGAAGGAACCTGCTAGTAGGCAGCTGCTGGGGAGGGGTGGGGCTCTGCGGGTGCTGTGGTGGAGGGCCTTTAGTTCTGGGGTCTTCTGCAGGGGTCTCCTGGGCAACTGAGCCTCAGTTTCCCCACTTGAGAAATGGGGGTGAGGGTCGGTGCTTTGCAGATTCCTGTGTTAGACCCCCTGACGCCCCCCATTCTCCCCACAGCCCCCGAGGCAGCTCCTGGCTGCGTTGGCGACATGGCTGACACCCCCAGAGACGCCGGGCTGAAGCAGGCGCCCGCGCCCCGCAATGAGAAGGCCCCCGCGGACTTTGGCTACGTGGGGATCGACTCCATCCTGGAGCAGATGCGCAGGAAGGCCATGAAGCAGGGCTTCGAGTTCAACATCATGGTGGTCGGTGAGTACGCACCCCACGCTGGGACCCCATGCCGCAGGCTCTGGGGCTCAGTCCGCTCCTTGGAAAACGGGGGTGGGCGCACCTGGCCCACAGGGCAGATAGCGCGTGGCACCGAGCGTGAGCCCGGGTGTGCGCCCGTGTGCCTGCCGGGAGGGCGGCAGCTCGCTGACCAGCAGCCTCACCCCCCCTCCCCCCCTGGGGCTCAGCCCTGGACTTCCAGTGACGGGGCCGGTCCCCACGGCCAGGAGGCCTTGCTGGAGGCTTCCTGGTTGGCCCCAGGAGAGCTGGATGGGCCCCAGGGCAGGTCACTGATAAGCCCGGCCTGATCTGGGTTGGGGGCCAGACGTGGGGGCGCACTGGGCCGCTTCTTGTTCCTGAAGTCCTTGGGGCCCCATTCGGTCCTCTCAGACGCCCTGTCAAAAGGGTGTCCCACTCTGTAGGCAGCAGTGAGACCCAGAGAGGGCCTGGCACGGCCTCTGCTCACAGGGCGGGGAGACCGGAGCTCTGCTCCCTGGGCCAGGCGTGCGTCTGTTTGGGGATCTGCAGACCCAGCGTGGAATCCCGGCCTCACCCCTGCTCAGTGGCGAGCGGTGCTGGTCCTCCCTTCCCCGGGGCTTACTCATCCGTAAGATGGGACCACCGGGAGGGACAGATCCAATGCGTGTGTGGCTCCTGCGTGGCCGTGGGCGCTGGAGGAGTGGCAGTCGCTGAAGCAGCAGCGGGGGGAGGGGAGGATGATAATCCCAGACTATCTGGCGTCTCCCAGGTGCCAGGCACGGTGGCCGGGCTCTCTGACGTAGCTCTGGCCTGACTTGGCAGGGACGCAGACAGGTGGGCTGAGGGGGACGTGGACAGCTGGGCCCAGGGGTTCCCGACGTCCACCTACGGCGTCCTGGGAGCTCACGCTTTGTCTTGACAGGTTATCAAAGTCGGAAAATCGGTACAGTTTAATTTTATAAAATATGTGGGCTAGTGTGGCATAGAGCAGCTCAGGGAAGGGGTGAGGTGCTGGGGCTCCACGTGTGGGGTCATGCCTGTGAGGTGCTCCCGGTGTGGACCCTGAGGTGGAAGGTTGTTTCGGGGCCCTGGATAAGGCTGCGGGGTTCCCATCCCTGCACTGGGCTCTGTGCCTGTTTCCTCATCTGTCAGGCGGGATGGCGATGGCCCCCAGGCAGGCGAGGGCGTTACACAGCCTCACTGAGGACAGCGGCTGGCGCATGCGGTGGGGAGCACTGTGAGCAGAGCCTGGGGTCTGCGGCAGCGGCTGCAAGGCCAGCCCCCCTTCCCCTACCATGCCTTCTGCCTTCTGCCCTCCTGCTGTAGGCGGGCCTCAGGTGATGTGAGGATTGGAAACAGCAAGGCCGGGAGTGTTTCTGGGGCCCAGGGGTCTGGGAGCCCCATAGGGGGCGGCCTGAAGCCCCGGGGGCTCCCTCGACCACCAGGGTCTGTGGACATGGGCACTGGCCAGTGGCTGTTCCTGTTCCTGGCGGCGAGACCCAGCTGCCCCCCATCTGGCTGCCCCTCCACCCCGTCCTGCCCCAGCAGGAACTGCCCCAGTGGCTTCTCACTGAGCCCCATGGTCGCTCAGCTACAGGCTTTGAATGCTGAGCGTGCTGGTGCTTCCAACCTAGATGACCCCGGAAACCGGGCAGAACCCTGCAGTGCAGCGGCCTAGCGCGGTTGGACTGTGGCAGGTTTACAGAGCCTCCCTCCTGTGGTCCTGCAGCTCTGTGCAGCTTTTCCTTCAAACCTCATGACCTCGGTGTGTCCGGCTGTGAAGAGGAAAGCTGCATCAGGGGGCCCAGCTGCCCCACGACAAAGCACCACGAGAGCTGGGCCACTGCCTGGGCATCCCAGCCCTTCCTGCCTCTCGTCCTCCCCTGACCTGGGGCCCCTACCGAGGGGGTGCTGAGGGACAGGGCCCAGGTACTGCCGAACCACTGGGCCCACTGACCGGCTTCCATCCTCTCCCCAGGGCAGAGCGGCTTGGGGAAGTCCACCTTGATCAACACCCTTTTCAAGTCCAAAATCAGCCGGAAGTCGGTGCAGCCCACCTCGGAGGAACGCATCCCCAAGACCATTGAGATCAAGTCCATCACGCACGGTGAGAGCCGGGGTGGGGCTGGGCGTGTCGACACGGGGTGTGTGGTGCTGCTGAGTCCTGAGTGGCCAGGTTGAAGTCTGGGTCAGGGATGCTCTCTGGGAGCCCTGTAGGCCCTGGTCGGAGGGAGCCCCCTGGGGACAACTGAGTTTTAAAGCAAAACCTGTGGGTAGGAGCTGCCCAAGTCAGCGGTCACCAGTCCTCCCTGTGCATCACCTGGGGGATCGTCGCTGGTCCCCGTGGGGCACCCCAAACGGGCCTTGGGGGGGCTGGGCTGGTCAGGTTCCTCCCAGGCAGGACCCAGCCTGCCCCAGGTTGTCTGTGGGGGTCCGGGGGTCTCCCCCTGAGCTCAGTGGGCTCTGTGGTTCTGCAGATATCGAGGAGAAGGGCGTCCGCATGAAGCTCACGGTCATCGACACGCCGGGCTTTGGGGACCACATCAACAATGAGAACTGGTGAGGACCCCTGGGGCTGCCGCTCCTGGAGTAGCGCCCTGACGGCCACCGGGGCCTGTCTCGAGGCCTGCTCCGCTGCTGAACCCTCAGAGGCCCCCAGATCCTGGGCCAGCACGCAGTTCCCCTGAGACTCGTGACCCCCGCACCTACTGGGGTCAAGGGTCAGCACAGGAGGCTGGCTGGGGAGCTCTCAGGGAGGCTGCGGTCTCTGCTCAGACGGCCCCGCAGCCTGGGCCCTCGCACCGGCAGGCCGAGGACGGGGCTGGGACGCGGGGGGAGAGCGGGCAGGAGCCGTGCCCCAGGGCGGGCTGACGGGGCCTGTGCTGGCAGCTGGCAGCCGATCATGAAGTTCATCAACGACCAGTATGAGAAGTACCTGCAGGAGGAGGTCAACATCAACCGGAAGAAGCGCATCCCGGACACGCGCGTGCACTGCTGCCTCTACTTCATCCCCGCCACCGGCCACTCGTGAGTTCCCCGCAGCCCCGTCCCAGTGCGGAGCCCGGGCCGTGTCCACGACTGCCCCTGTCGCCGTGCGGGAAGAGCGGATGCAGCTCTGCTCCCGGTGGAGGACGGTGGCCACCACTCGGGGTCCCTGTGGTGCTGTCCCCATGCCCTCCCAGGACGGGCTTCCGGTTGGGGGTGGTGGCACACTGGAGCCAGTGGGCGAGGCTCTGGGGGCACCCTGGGCAGTAGCCTGTCCCGGAGGCGTGGCTGGGTGGGCCCAGAGCTGCTGGGGGCTTCCTTCCCCTCCTCCTTCCTCTTGCCTCCGAGGGGACCCCTCACCCAGGACGGGGCTCAGAGCCGGTCTCACACCCTATGCTTCTGTCTGGCAAATGTCCTCTTTCTCTTTCCTGTCCCTTGTGTCCCTTCTTTCTGGCGAACGTCCCTTCCTCTTTCCTGTCCCTTGCTTAGGGTTTGGCTGGCCATGGCCTTACCGGTGTGTCCACACCTGGGAGCCCGCACGGGCACCCTGATGGCCCTTTCTCAGCTGGAGGCAGCCCTGCCTGCCTCATTCTGTCGCCGTCCGTCCGTCTGTCCCCCTCGGCCCATCGCTCACCCACACCATTCTGCTTCAGCCTCAGGCCCCTGGACATCGAGTTCATGAAGCGCCTCAGCAAAGTCGTCAACATCGTCCCTGTCATCGCCAAGGCCGACACGCTGACCCTGGAGGAGAGGGTCTACTTCAAACAGCGGGTAGGGCTCTCCACCTCCATCCGGGCTGTTGGACGCAACACGCCAGGCCTTCCCGGGGGAGAGCAAGCCCAGAGCGGGCGGGGATAGGTGGCCGTGTCCTCGCTGCCTCGGTCCTGCTTCAGGCCGCCGTCTCCGCAGGAGGGCGCGCTCGGGCCTGCGGCTTCCCGACAGGTGGCATGTCCGAGCCACCTGGGGAGCCGGGAGAACGAGGCCCCCGGGCCCCATGGAGCCTCCACCCCCGGTGGACATGAGCCGGGAGGCCCCTTGGTCTCATCCCCAAAGCACTGGACGTGCTCATCGGTGGCCCCGGGTGCGGGGATTTTCCCAGCAGGCTGAGGGGAGGACTGTGCCTTCACCATGGGCGCGTCTGCCGGAGGGAGCAGGCCGCTGTGGGTCTGTGCTCGGGGCAGAAATGACGCTGTGCGCGGCGTATCCGCGTGTGGGGGAGCCAGGGCAACAAACAGTGGTGACCGTCTGACACAGGCAGGTGCACGCTGGGCTGCAGGGGTCCCGGGCAGCATCCAGGCCCCGCCGTGACAGAGGGTTTCCAGGTGGAGCTTGAGGGACAACTCACCATCCCAGAGCTGCTGTCTCCGGGGCGTGCTGGCCTACAGAGGGAGGACAGGGAGACGTGCGGGACTCAGGTGGCTGCACGGGTCTCCCGGCAGGCCTGCAGCTCTCCCTCCTCCACTCGGGAGGCTCGAGAACTGGAGTATCAGGGTCACCAGCCCTGTAGAGCCTGCCTTTGACCCCAGGCTGGGCCCCCTCGCTTTCTGGAGGTCACAGTGCGGGCCGATCCCGGTGGGTCAGTCCAGCCTGCTGTGTGGACGGCACCCACATCTCTCCCCTCCGGATCCCCAGATCACCGCGGATCTGCTATCCAACGGCATCGACGTGTATCCCCAGAAGGAGTTTGACGAGGACCCGGAGGACCGGCTGGTGAATGAGAAGTTCCGAGTGCGTGCACTGGCCGTTGCGGAGGCCCCTCGATTCCTGCTAGAGGCCACGGCAGGGTCTTCCAGACTGCTCCAGTGGGACTGGGGAAGCGGGAGGGATGGCCCTGAGCCATGGGAACGTATTCTCTGGGCCGGAAGGAGTCAGAGCCCAAGTGTTCACATGGGGCTCTCTAGGGCCAAGGGTCTCCGTTCTGGGGGGCCCCGGGCTCAGGGCAGCTCCTCACTGGTGCCTAGGAAGCGCACTGGCCTTCGCACACACGTGACCCATGCTGCCTGTCCTTCCCCCAGGAGATGATCCCGTTCGCCGTGGTGGGCAGTGACCACGAGTACCAAGTGAACGGGAAGAGGATCCTTGGCAGGAAAACCAAATGGGGCACCATCGAAGGTAATTGTCAAGCTGCTGGGGTCTCCAGACAGACCAGAAAACTCAAGCCGCTCTGCCAGCCTGGAGCTTGGGCACCCAAGCCCCAGCCGGGCGCTCCTGGGGCCTCATCTGCGGCATCACCGCACTCAGCCACTCAGTGGCTTGTCTGGGGTGCATAGCTGTTAGCTGATGGAGCTGTGCCTTCACCCCGATCTCCCAGGGGACAGGGAAGTATCCAGAGTGGAAAGGAAGGAGCCCTGAGGGGTCCTGCCGAGTTCTGGGTTTTGGTGTTTCATAGCGGTGCTGTGTGACCCTGGGCAAGTTGCTCCACCTCTCTGGGCCTAGGACAGGGCTGGGAATAGCGCTGTCCAGCTGTGAGAACAGACGGCGCGCCCCCTGCTGAGGTTCCCGGGACCCCACATCTTGGTGTCCTGCGGCTGCTGTAACAGATGGGCTGAGACTGGGTGGCTTGAAACAGAAATGTCTTCCCCCGGTTCTGGAGGCCAGAAGTCAAGGCATCAGCACGGCTGGTTCCTTTCAGAGGCCCTAAGGGAGAACATGTTCCAGGCCCCTGCCCTGGTGGCCGTCAGCCATCCTCCTCGTCCCTTGGGCCGACCACAGTCCCCACTCAACCTTCGGACTGTGCCTCTGTCTGTTCCTCAGGAGGCCATCTGCCTGTCATTGGCTTAGCTTCCCTTGGAATCCACGTGATCCCCTCTTAGGGTCTTTACCTTAATTACATCTTCCAAAAAAAACTCTCCAAATAGCCCCCATTCACAGGTGCCGAGGGCGTCGGCTGTTGGACATGGTTTGGGGGACACAGTTGAACCCCCTTTGGGTGGTGGCGCCCGGGGCGCTGCTTCACCCTCCGCTCTGTCCGTCTCCCTCTTTAGAACAGAGAAGGCAGAATGGACAGGTTCGAAGGCCCACGTTGTCTTTCCTCCCGTGGCTGAGGGCCCAGCGTGTGACAGACTTAGACTTAATGAAACTTTTTTGGGGCAGCAAACACCCTTAAGAAAGGGATCATCGCGACATCGCGACACGGGACAGCGAGCTCCCTCCCCCTCCTTCCCTCCTTCTGTGCCTGCTCATTTTACATACATTACCCCACTGGGTGCCTAACTCCCCCTCCCGCCCCCACCCCTGCAGTTGACCCTGTGCCCTCCTGCAGAGAGGACCAGGCTGTAGCACCCAAGGGTTCACCCCTGCCCTGCCGAAGCCTGGGGGAGGCGTGGAGCGGCCCACAGACCCGCCGTGGGGCGCCCACGTAGGTGCCGGCGGGCGGTGCCGCGGGGTGTTTTCCAGCATCTCCTGGATCTGCGCTTCCGCATCCGTCCCCTCCTCCAGGGGTGTCTCTGCAGCTGCTCAGCTCCTGTCCAAGTGGGCTGTTTCTCCGTCAGGCTTACCTGGGCGCATCCTGCCTCGGCTCTACTCCGTGCTCTTCAGGAACTTGGCGCAGACGCCCGTTCTGGAGGGTGGAGAAGTGTGGGATCATAAGGGCCCATGGGGACTTGGGACACAGGACTGGGTTGGGGGCCACCCAGGGCTGGACAAGCCTCTGCTGCCCCCTGGTGGCCAACTCCGGCCTGCAGGCTCACCGTGGGGTTGTGAGAAACGGCCCTGTGGCCCCTATGGGGATGGTTGCAAGGTGGCGGGTCTCCTGCAGCCTTCGTGAGCACCCCAGAGATTTCTGCCCCCCGTCGCACAGCTGGACCCCGCACTGAGCTGGTGGCTCTTTCTCTCCCGGGCCTTGCCCGCTCGTAACTGACCCGAGGACGGGCTGCTCTGTGCTCCTCCCTGGCCAGCCTGGTTAATGTGCGCTCTGTCCTCCTCCTTGCCCCCCAGTCCCTGGTCCTGTTTCTTTGATCCTGGTTTCGCCGTCCTGAGACGGTGCACCCATCCTCGGAAACTGCCTGGCGCATTCAGGAGGAGGGTGGGGTGTGAGAGAGCACGTGGTTAGCTCATCGGAGGTGGCTGGCGTTTGAGTCCCACCTTACAGAGGAGGAAACTGAGGGTCAGAGAGGCCAGGAGAAGCAGCAGCCACATGCACACACTCCCAGCTGGGGGGCTCCCATCTTCCCGCCAGCTCTCTCCACTTCACGTTTGTAGCAATGCCGCGTGTGAGTCTGTCGGCAGAAGGTTCTAGTTCGGGCACAGCCCCGTGCTGGTGGGGATGTGGGAGGAGGGCCAGGGTGTGGTGGGCAAGCAGCCACTGGAAGAAAATCGCAGGGCTTGGCAAGGTGGAGACACTGGGGCTTTTGGGCTTTTTCTCCCCAGCTTACTGGGGGCGATTGGGGAGACAGGCCCATTCCCTGCGCTCTGAGCCCCGATTCCCCAAGACCACAGACGGGGAGCCCTAGTGGTGTGCTGGGTGCATGAAGAATTGATGACACACACGAGTCATGCAGCAGAGCCCTCGGGGGCACAGGGCCACTGCCTCTCTGGGGGACCTGGGGGCATCTGGGGGGCCCGTCCTCCCACGTCCGCAGAGCTGACTCCTGTCCTGCAGTGCATGCTTTGGGCGTCTGTGTGTAGCCGGGCAGCGTAGGGTTCCCGAGCCCAGCGGCAGTGGTGACGAGCGTGGGAGAAGGCCCACCTTCGGTCCCTGCCTTGTTCCATTGCCACCATCCCTTGTTTTCAGGGTCCCCTGGGACATGCTGCTCTTCTCAGGAGATGCCCCTCCCCCAGCTCCCAGTGAGGAGCAGTGGCCCTAGTGGCCCTGGTGGACAGGAACCCTCTGGGGGGCGGGCGCCTGGCAGGGCCTGCCTTAGGGTGTCTGCAGAGTCGGGTGCCTGTGGGGGCACAGTGCTCCCCTGTGGGGTGGGGACTCCCACCCCCACCAGCCCACCCACCCAGGCTTCTCTTGGCCCCTGAACTACTGGGGGGAGGGGAGAGGCAGGGCGGGGGGGGTGCTTCGAGTGACCTTAAAGCTCTTTTTGTCTCCTCAGTCGAGAACACCACCCACTGTGAGTTTGCGTACCTTCGGGACCTCCTAATCAGGTGAGAGAGGGCTGTGGGGTGTTGGTCTTGGCCCCCGAAGGCCCTGAGAGGGCCCTAAGTCAGGAGTACGGGCAGTGGGGGGGCAGCCAGAGGTGCTGGACAGTAGCTGACCCGTCCTCCCCCAGGAGGAACTCGGAAGGCCGTTGTCTGAATCAGCTCCGTGGAAATGAAGCAGGAGGTTAAAATCCTTCTTAATCTGTGTGAAGGCCCCCCCGGATAGGAGGGGGCTGGGTTCTCATCACTGCAGCCTGGGGCTTCAGGGGCTCTCTCACGCCGGGCATGGAGATAGCGTCCCCTACTCCCATCCCAGTGTCTTCTGACCCCACCACTCTGGGCCGTGTAGGGAGGAGCAGGCAGGAAGGGGCTCCAGGCTGGCCAGGCCGGCCCCCCCCCCCTTAGTTTTCTTGAGCTCAGATAAGGAGTGGCCGTCCTTAAGCCGGTAGAGAAGATGCCATGTGGCTGGGTCTGGGCACGTAATGAGACAGTGGGGGGCGGGGGGGGCCACCTGCCGTGGTACCAGGAGTTCCTGGCTTCTCTGTTAGCAGGTGGGTGCATTCTAGGCATTAAGTGGAGGGACAAGGCCATCCCTGGGGTGGGGGGGGCTCTAGGTTGAGGGGTGGACTGTGGCTTCTGGGAGTGACCCCACCGTGGTAGATAGCCTGACTGCCCAAGACCCCCACCAGGCCCTTCCGAGTCTCCTGTTGGGCTGCGAGAAAGGGGGAACCTGGGCACAGGACTGACTAGCAGGGTGGACCAGCACTCCAGCTCAGGGCATAGCCCCAGGACCTGGTGCTTCTTGGTGGCAGCAAGGACATTCGAGCACTGTCTCCTCTGAGTGTGCACCCAGCCCCTACCCTTGGACTGGCCACAGGCTTGGCACGGAGAGAAGGGGGTGCGTGCGTTAGAACATAGGTGTTCTGAGAGGGTCTGGGTCACTGGAAACTACCCCCCACGCCCCCTGCCGTACCCCAGCCTGGGCCCACTTGCTGGGCCTTATAAGCCCTCCTGGGGGGCCCCCTGAAAGCCAGGCAGGAGGGATGGGGTGCGGGGGGGGCAGGCAGTGGGAGTCCCAGCTCCGGCCCCGTGGGGTCAGCACCCGTGTCCCCCCGTGTCCCCCCAGGACGCACATGCAGAACATCAAGGACATTACCAGCAGCATCCACTTTGAAGCCTACCGTGTGAAACGTCTGCACGAGGGCAGCAACGCCATGGCCAACGGCGTCGAGGAAAAGGGGCCCGAAGCCCAGGAGATGTAGACCCACCCTGCCCCCGGGACCCGCCCCTCCCCAGCCCTTTCCAGCACCGCCCACGTGCCCCGTTTTATTTTATACAATTTCCTCCACTTGCCGTCGTTCTCTGCCCCTTCACACGCTGCCCAATAACAAGGTCACGTGCGCCCGCCTGCGTGTGCCTCCTTAGCCGCTCAGTGCGGGGCCTGGACCCGGTCCTGGGACGGGAGGGGCAGGGGAGGGGCCTCGGGCCTAGTGCCAGGCCCCAGCCTCTGAGCATGGCAGGCCTGTGCGGGGGGGGGGGGGGGGCGGGGGGGGCCTGGCCAGCCTGGAGCCCCTTCCTGCCTGCTTCTCCCTACACGGCCCAGGCCACAACTCAGACCCGTAACTCAGACATCCTCCCCCCTTGCCTCCCGCCCCAGGGGCAACTAGTTAATTCCGTGAGATGCAAGTTGCCAATTGCTTAGACGTGGGGAGGCCCATCAATGCCCGCAAGCCTGTCCTGCAGCAGAAAGTGCCTTTATCTCAGCCGTCCATGAGCCCGTCTTCTCTCCCCTGCTGTCCCCGCCACCAGCACCGGGGACACATATGAGAGAGGGAGGTGTGTCTTCATCTCTCCATCGCTCTCCCACCCCCCAGGATTCGATTGAGCGTGCAAGGGAAGGGAAAAGATGCCCCTCACTCCAGCCCCGCCCCAGGATTTGGGGGAAGGTCCCAGCAGGTGAAATCCGGTGGAGGTGCTGAGGGAAGAGGAGGTGACCATGTGGGAAGGAGGGGGCTGTGTGGGCTGGGGCTGGGCCGTTCAGAGTGGCCCAGGTAATCCCCACGCCTGCCTGCACCGCCCTGCGTGACTGCGAGAATGTTTGTCTGTCTGTCTGGATATCTCTGGCCTAAGATGCTCCACCCCGGGTACACCCATTCAGCCCTCCTGGGCCAGGTTTTGCTGACACCTTGACCCCGGGAGCTTTTGTCACCCTAAATATGCCTGGGTTCCCGCACCCCAGAGCCCATCGTAAATACCTCCCCGCCCCAAAGAGGGAGAGGTCAGGAGGCAGATGTGCGTGGGCCCTCATCAGGCTGCAGCCCAGGCTGGCTTCTTGCAAGGGGAGGGGAGGGGATGCAGACAGACCTGTGGGGGATGGTGCGCACACGTGTGCGTGCGTGTGTACGATGTCCTTGCATTGTGTGTTCCCTCCCCACCTAAGACAGGAAGGACCCCTTAGCGAAACCGTTTACTTGCCGACTTGCCACGTTTTTGCCAAAACCAAGACTTCGAAGGAAACCTCCACCTTTGGCGGCGGGGCGAGGGCGCGGGGGGCAGCCTCGGGCGGGCCGGACTCGCTTTCCTTCTCTGTAGCCAGATCTCGGCAAATGGTATTTCACCGGCGCCTGTTCCCACGGTGGCCTTTTGCTATGTGCCTCCTGAGAAATTCGTCTTTTTGTATAAATAACAAAGTGTTGAGACTGTATTTCCTGAAATAAATGTCCAAACGCAAACCTTCCGGGGGGCACGTGCTCCTCTTCCTGATCCCAGAGGCGCGGTTCCCGCGGGCCAAAGCCGGCCAGGCGGCGCGTGCCGGGGGCTGTTCAGCCTCTTGACGGGGAAGCCGGTGTCGGGGAGGTCAGAAGCCCACGGGTACCTGGAAAGCCAAGGGCAAAGCTTTCCTAATGGATAAGGAGGCTGGGAAGGGTTTCCCACCACGAGGCGCCGAAAACCGCTTCTGTTCCTGTATTGTCGGAAATAAAGTCCTATCAGATCGAACCGTCGGAACTGGTCAGAATTTGACAGTCATTCCCTACCAGTGACTTGTTCCTGGAGAATGTGGCCCCGAGGAGAGGGAGAGGTTCCGGAGGCTGTCATGGGCGCTTCTCTCTGCACGACAGCCCTCCCCCTTGCCCCGGGGTGTTGGAGGCTGGAGCCCTTTTCTGGGCATAACATGTCACCATGAGCTGGGCCGTCTCAAACGACGGAAATCCATTCTGTCCTGGTTCCAGGGGCTGGATGTCTGCGATGGAGGTGTCGGCAGGCTGTCCTTTCCCCGGCCTGCGCTGTGCCAGCTTTCCTCCTTGCGGACGAGAAACAGATCTCGTGGAAGGCACCTCTGTTGAATTTGGGGCCCCTCTTCAGGATGGGTTCGTCTCCTCCTCAGTTCCATCTGCAAAGACCCTGTCTCCAAATAAGGCCGAGTTCTGAGGTTCTGTCTGAGGACATGAATTCGGGGGGTGGGGCAAGTGCTCTTCAACCCAGGGCATCCAGTACCCCCTCCGTCACTGGGCCCCAGGGACAAGGTGGCTGCAGAGGGCCCCGCAGCAGGGCTCGGATGTGGGTTCAAGGTTGGCTTGTTCTGCAGAAGGTCAGTGGGTTTCATGTGCAAATGAATCCGTGGGCAGAGGCCACATGAATCATGTGCTTCTGGATTCTGGGGTATGTCAGGCACTGCCGACCCCTGCTGGGGGCACGGGAGGACAGAATCAGACCAGGGTGGGGCTGCGGGACCATCATCTCAGGGCTCTTCCCAGCTCTCTCAGCGACCGCTCTTGAACTTCTTGACCCTGAGGCTTCCCTTTCCCTCCCTCCTCCAGACTGAAACCACCCCCATCTTCACTCCTGCTAGACATCCATATCCGGCAGCTGCTCTCTTGGGCCTGACCCCCACCAGGGCCCAACCCCCACCAGGGCCCAACACCCTCTCCAAGCCTTGATCTCCCGTTCTGGAATCTGGCGAGCTCCCTGTCCCTGGCGCTGCTGGTCCCTCACTTGCCAGGCTGACGGGAACCAGGACACGGGCCCACCTGCACTTCCCTCCAAGGGCAGCCCAGAAATGCCGGTGGGGGCTCTCCCACCCAAGCAAGCAGATCCCCTGCTCTACGTCTGGGTGACCAACTGTCCAGTCTACCTGGACATGTGGGGTTTCCAGGGATCTGGAACTTTCAGTGCTAAAACCTGGAAGGTCCTGGGTGAGCCGGGCAAGTTGCTTATCCTGTGGAGACCCCACACCACCCTGCCCCCTCCCACCGCTCAGGGTCATGGTCTTGGACTCCTCCGCCCAAGGGGCTCTTAAGGAGTTGGGCTGTTGCCAAGACATCCTGGGGGTGAGCAGGGGCCTCCAAGGCCAGCCAGAGCGTCAGACTGGCTCTGAGCACCTGTGGGGGTGGGATGTCCCCAGGGGGCTGTGACCAGGTGTCCTATGCTCCCGCCTTCCCTGCTTTGGGCAGCAGGGTTTGACCAAGCCAGGAGAATGATTCAGTGAAGGGGCAGTTTTTTGGGGGGAGGGGTGCTTTTCCAGACCCTCCCTTGTGTATGTCCTTGTATCCCTGGGGGAACCATGTGGGTGGCCCCCACTAGCGGGAGAAACCAGGTGGAAATCAGCTAAGGGGTATCTTTTCACATCTGTATTTAGGGATGTGCCCCCCTCATTGTTAAACATGACATAGACCAAGTAGATGATGTGCGATGTGGGAAATGCCAGAAAAAAAAAAAAAAAAAACAACCTCACAAGGAAATGGAAAGCCCACCATCCTCCCTAGTGCCCACTCGGGGGGAGGGGCTGGTGTCATTGTCATCTTGGTTCCTCTGCTTTGCCTTGTGTCCTTGATTTGGTTTCAAGGGCACTGGGAAGAGGAAGTGGGGGGGCAGGAGGGAGAGTGGGAGCCGCGCTGACTTCTGGCCGGACCCCAGTGTGAAAGCTGAGGGGTTTGGAGGCCTCCTGTCTTGGGGACCACCCTGCAGGGGTCCCCAGCTCCCGCTCGCCCCTAGCAGGTGGCCGGGTCCTTCCCAGATGAGGCTGCCTTGTCTAGGCAGGAGCCCTCTGTCCCCTGCCCGCTCCTTCCCCCTTCTCCCCGCTCGCCTCCACACCTCTCCCGAGGAAGGAGAAGGGGGACAGGCCTCTAAGTAGGTCGGGCCCAGCTCAGGTGTCCCCGATGGTGGAAATTGGGACACTCGCTGAGCAGACCAGATGCATTTCCTGCCTTGGCTCCTAGAACACTGCAGGTGTGTGCACGGCCCCAACCACAGGCAGGAGGGGCCCGGGGAAGCAGAGGCAGCTGTGTCAGGGATGTGAGCCTAATGCCAGCACATGGGGCTGTCACCGTGAGGAGCCCAGACCGGAGAGCCTGTCCTTGGAGAGCCCCAGGGAAGCTGTGGTCCCCTCCCCCCACCCAGGCGAGCTGCAGACTCCTGCCCTGCCTGCACTCCGAGGGCGCTGGCCTTTTCCAGAAAGTAAGACGTCCCAGCTTTTCTCTGATAATATTGGCCCTACCTGCTCCCTGTAGAATGTGTGAAAAATAGACAAAGGCCAGAAAACAACCACCCTAACAGCGAACACAGAACCCCCCCCACCCCGTTGCCTGTCCACCAGCTAATGGATAGGAGATAAAGAAGTGCTTTTAAACATATCGGCAAAAAAATAATAATAATAAGTAAGTAAATAAATAAATAAATGCATCGGCAAACTTCATTGTGTTTGTCTTTCCGGAACTGAGCTCAGACCGAGCACACCCTTTTGTAACCTGTGTTTTCACTATCAGGGAGGGTTTTCCTACTTCATTATGTTTTCTTGGAGAACGCGATTTTCATGGTAGTACGTTAGTCCATCCCATACACCTGCCTTCTTGTGGATGGCTACAGGTTCACCCCCATCCGTGGGCTGCGCCAGGAGGGCTGGAGGGGTGCGAGCCATCCCTGTCCTCCTCAGAGATGAAAGAGGTGCCTGGTGGCAGGAAGCTGCTGGAGACGGTTCTGAAGCCCACGCTGTCAGGGTCTGTGTAGACCCAGAGCCAGGAGGGGCCCCGGGATCGTGTGGACCCGTCCTCCCCCCCCCCCCCCGTGTTCCCCCTCGAGGCTCTCGTTACTGCCGTTTGGCGCGTGGGAGGGCAGAGCGTCCCTTGAAGTGCATACCAACCATCAGGGTCTCCTGGAGTTCAGGGCTCACGCACAGAGCACGACTTTGACCCTGTTACCGAAATGCTCATTTCTGAGCTCCTTTTCCACGTAGATTCAAGTAAGCAGCTGGGCGTCTCCCAACTGGGTCCGTCAGGGAGACGCCGGCAGGTCACCTTTCACCGATCATATTGATCAATAT